TTGCAGTCTTTCATCATTTTCATATAAATCGGAAACTGTCAACGAGTTCAGTACAAAACGTCTGTTAAATTAGGCGGGGTTGAGATTCGAGGTTTGCCTTACAGCAAATTTGTCGTAACAAACATCACATGTTCACGCCGGTGATCCGTGCAACCAAGCAATGCCTATTTCTAACACATTTCCGACTTATTTTATTATATGCATATATCCTATATGGAAACATCGCTTAATGCACAGTCCATGGTCAAACTTGTGAATTTTGAATATTATTGTTTTCTTTTGAGATTCCTGTAATGTTCCCGCAGAGTCCTTAAGTCAGGGCACAACTGTGTCATCCTCGATATTGAATTTAATTGATGAACATCGCAAAGTACACAATTGTTGAGAATGTATTACGAACAACGAGCTTCCAAAGATCAGCTGTTAGATGTGTTTAAGAAATATATCACGCGCATGAAAGAATGATATCTGTTGTAAATGACTACCATAACAGTGATATCATTTTATCTGTCTGGGTCAGCGCGTATCTATGAAATGGCACAATCCTGTGGTAATCGTGTAGTCCTTTGCTGTTGCATGAGAATTCGACTGAAAATTTTATTGATGTCCAAAAATTCAAGTTTTCTGAAACACTGGTCAACGTTATTATATGTTTCAAATCAATTATGCGATAAGAAACGATGATTAACAATATTAGACGGATGTATAAGTAGTTGGGATGTACTCTTACGCTTTCCCCTTCTCTCTCTCTCTCTCCAGTGTTCCTGAACGCATGGTAGAGTGAATGTGCAGAAATGAACTGAATGGACCGCACTGACTTCAATCATTGCCACCTAAGGTATGTCATCTTCGATGTGCGATATACACGTTGAGTATAAACTAAATCGTATTGGAGATGTGGCGTTGATTAAATCGCCTAGATCAAACCTATAAAGTCATTTAAAAAATTTGAAATATGCAGTTTTAGGCAAACCTCGATAGTTGTTTCCGGTCAGCTTTCCACTGATTATCGTAAGGCGGATTAGATGAAGTAGTTGATAGAGATGGGTGCTTACCACCCACTTCGACAATATAGCCTCCTCCTCGCTTCCGCAATGGATTCGAATTATGCCCTCAACACGGTTTCCACTGATATACAAATAATACACCCAGGTAGAAAGGTGATAAACATGGGCACTATGACATTTTATGAGAATTTGTTATTTTT